CTCTCCTAGCCCCTTCATCCCCCAACAGGCCCCAGTTTGTGATGTTCCCCTGTGTCCATATGTTCTCATTGTCCAACATTCACTTATAAGTCAGAACATGAAGTGTTTGGTTTTCTGTTCTTGTGTCAGTTTGTTGAGAATGATGGTTTCCAGCTCATCCATTTCCCTGCAAAGGACATGAACTCCATCTTCTTTATGGCTGCATAGTACTCCATGCTATACATGTGCCACATTTTCTTTATCCAGTCTGTCATTGATGGGCATTTGGGTTGGTTCCAAGTCTTTGCTATTGTAAACAGTGCCACAATGAACATACATGTGCATGTGTCTTTATAATAGAACGATATATAATCCTTTGGATATGTATCCAGTAATGGGATTGCTGGTTCAAATGGTATTTCTATTTCTAGACCCTTGAGGAATCGCCATACTGCCTTCCACAATGGTTGAACTAATTTACACTCCTACCAACAGTGTAAAAGCGTTCCTTTCTCCACATCCTCTCCAGCATTTGTTGTCTCCAGATTTTTAATGATCGCCATTCCAGCTGGTGTGAGATGGTATCTCGAATGTGGTTTTGATTTGCATTTCTCTAATGACCAGTGATGATGAGCAACAAAATAACTGTTAATATGTCAGTGTAACAATTAGTCGATGAATTTATTTGAGACTGAACCTTTCTCTGTGCCCAGGCTGGAGTGCAGTGACACAATCTTGCCTTATCGCAAGCTCTACCTTCCAGGTTCAAGCAGTTCTCCTGCCTTAGCCTTTTGAGTAGCTGGGACCACAGGAGTGTGCCACCATGCCTGGCTAATTTTTTGTAGTTTTAGTAGAGATGCGGTTTCCCCTATGTTGGCTAGGTTGGTCTTGAACTCCTGACCTCAAGTAATCTGTCTGCCTCAGCCTCCCAAAGTCCTGGGATTACAGGCATGAGCCGCTGTGCCCAGCCCTCAATGTAACAAATTTGAATTGTTAAAATGTGTAAAAGAATATAATATATTGGCAAAAAGTGTACATTAATATAATTTACTTTCAAATAATTTCTATTTATGTTTGAAATAGAGTCATAGTTTACTAAAAAATGGTGGTTTTGCAGATTTTGGCCTTTTTTTTATTTTTAGTTGACACATAATTGTACATATTTATGGAATACAGAATGACATTTTAATACATGTATACAATATGTGATGATCAAATCAGGGAACTTAGCAAATCCGTCATGATACCTTCTTCAGTAAATGATTCTGGGCTAGTCCTCTCTTTCTCACCATATACAAACCCAACTCAAAATGGATTAAAGACCTGAAACCATAAAACTGCTAGAGGAATACATGGGGGAATTACTTTGGGACATTGGTCTAGGCAAAGGTTTTATTGGTAAGACTTCAAAAGTGCAGATTTTTGACTTTTGTCTATTTATGTGAAAGAGGCAAATCTTGAGAACTGAAGAAGGACCCTAAAGTAGCAGAAGAAAGGAAATGAATGGTGTATAGATTTGGCATTCTTTGCAGGGTTATATAGAATGTTAAAAGGAAACTGAGCAGAGGATCTGAGGGGGTTAAAAAGGATTTAAAACTTCCTGGTCTCATTAGACGTAACTTTTACAATCTGGTTTCTGTTTTAGTTTCTGTGATATTGTCAATAGGTTCTGCTCCATTAAATCGTTTGTGTTTATCATCTTGATGGATTCTGAAAAACACTGGCTAACTTCTCTGCTTTTCTTGCTCTGCTATGTGTAGTTTTCACTGTGGAGCAATTACTTTCATTGTTACCAAAAAAGATACTGCAGGATGAATGCCCAAGAAGAAACTGAGGGCTGTGGTGGCTGAGATCGTAAACCAAAAAAGAGCAAGGGTTGATAAAACATATTTTATCTTAAGAACTTGTCAACATTACATGAATTTTCAGTCCAAAGCTACAGTATTTTTTTCTCGTTATAGAGGTGGTAAGCAAAAGCCCTTCAGTGAAAGAAGATTCCTGGAGAGGAGAGAGCCATCACATCACTTCTCAATTCTATTCTTATGTTGTGCCAACACCATCAGCACCAGCAGCTGTAATGGGTGTGTGTAAACAGGGACCTGTCTCCAGAGACCTGGCTTCCCATGAGACCATATGCAGTAGACATTTAGTTAGGGCTTAATAAACACTGATAATGGGATGACTTGAATCAACACCTGTAAGTATTTTGAGTGCTTATTAATGTCTTAAAATGTCTTCTTCTTGGACTAGTGGGAACCTAAGATATTACAGTTATGAGAGATGAAGTTGTATAACTGAAGTCTTCCATATTTATTTAGCCTATCAAAAATGATTTCTTTTAAAAGAACCTAAGGGCATATCAAGAAAGTTAACTTTTGTAGAACTTACTTTGCCACTATATTCCAACCATTTAGGTAATGTTTAATTATATAAAATTAATTCTATTTAATTCTAAGAAATCATGATGTTAACCCTGAGTCCTCTTCCTCCTTTTGGTAAAATTCAAGCCAAATATCTAAAGCCATGTACATAAAACATATTGTTCCAAACTGCTCTCATAAAATGTTTTCTGCTTACCTGCCAAGAGTTACAAAAAAAAGGAAGATAAAAATTGTTCTGTCTGCCATTCCTTCTGCACTCACTTATATGTCCCAAGGCATCACACATTTCTGTTTGTTAGCAAGATTGTCTCTGGTGCTTTTTATGAAAATATTGATGGGGAATTGCTGGTCCCAAAGATGGGCAAGCACACAAGTATATGAATACCTTCTTCTCAGAGTCAGTCCCAGATAAGCAGTGGCTCTGCATGTCTTGCTTCTAGACAGAAAAGTCGGCGACTTGGGACTTGGGGACATTTCTCCGATGGCCTGCAACAAGGCCACCTTTTTTTCCCAGTTAGAAAAAGTGTTGATGAGATCTCCGTAATAAAAATGAATGAACTATTGGTAGGTACAACAACACGGGTGAATCTTAAAATAACCATGGTGAAAGAAGCCAGAAAAAAAGGAGTACATCCTATATGATTTCATCTTTATAAAATTCTAGGAAACACAAACTCATCTGTAGTGGCAGAAGAAATCGGTGGTTGCCTGAGGAGGTGGGGGGTCAGGAGAAGAGTGGGGCAGTGGGCAGGTGGGTAGGATTGCAAAGAGGAATGAGAAAAGCCTGGGAGGTGATGGTTGTGTTCATTATCTTGATTATCGTGACAGTATCATGGGTACATACTTATGTCAACATTTATCACATTGCATACCTTGTATTTGTGCACTTTAATGTTGTCTATTATGCCACATAGAATATAAGAGGGGGAAATACTGTATTACTGTTGTAAACAGAAATCAGTTGACACTTGTCATAGACAGCAGGTAAGAAGGAAAATAAATACAATTAAAATAGAACAATTGAAGAAAATTCTGCTTTAAAGCCCCCATGTTTGATAATTACACTCTTATCTGATGTTTGACTCTCAAAATATCTTTTTTGATGGGCAAGCAATTATGTTTTAATTGTCGAGAGCTGGGTTTTGGGGCTGGGTGAGGTGGCTCATGCCTGTAATCCCAGCACTTTGGGAGTTCAAATCAGAAGGATTGCTTGAGGCTGGAAGTTCAAGACCAGTCTGGTCAACACAGCGAGACCTTGTCTCTAAAGTAGAGAAATTAGAGAAATTAACCAGACATGGTAACCCTTGTTTGTAGTCCCAGCTACTCAGTGGCGGAGCCAAAAGGATTGCTTGAGCCCAGGAGTTTGCAGTTACAATGAAGTATGATTGTGGTGCCACTGCACTCCAGCCTAGGTGACGGAATGAGATCCTATCAACAAAACAAAGCAAAACAAAACAAAACAAAAAAACAACAAGAGCATGGGTTTTGGAGTTTGGCAGCCTTGGGTTTGACCCAGTGGCCCAGTCATCTGCCAGCTGTGGGACTTTGAGCAAGACCTTGCCCTTTTTATTCCTCAAATCTGTGAAATGGATTGATAGAAGTATAGTAAGTCCTCAATAGATGCAAGCCATTTTTGTTGTTTTTATTTATTTGGCATTGTGATTCCCACAAGATTTAAAATGCAGGTCGTTTGGGGTGAGAAAATACAGTATTTTAAATTCACAAGGAGGCTGTTCATGTTACCAAGAAGAATCAAGTCCTTTAGCAAAGTGTTGCCTAAAAATACAAGAGGTCAGCACAGGAGGGGAAAGGAACGCAGGGAGAGGAAAATCGGATTTGTCAAAATGCCCACTGTTTTTTGTGTTCGTCTCAGTGGGCATTGAGCTCCTAGGTGACGCCCTCGTATGATTTCTCTGCTTTTAGTAACCTCTGCTCTTTGCAGGTTTTAATTGTTATGAATTCATTAGTCTTTTCTATTGTTAAATAATAATGCCATTGCTTAAAATATTGCTCTTTCTCTCAAAAGTGCTGTATTTAAGTTTGCTTATTTAGAAATTCATTCTGGCATTTAGCATGTATTTTTTGTCATTTATCTCTAGGAAAAATGTTGGACTTTTAAAATGTTTTATTTAAAATTGATAGATTTGGTTTAATCGGACTTTTTATTAGCTTTATAAACTTAAAAATACTACTCTATATATATATGGAAGTAAAGTTGATCAGTTTATCTTAAATTGGTCATATTGTTGATTTATAAGTTTGGAGGAAAATATAGTTTCTTTAACTCTGAAATAATGTTGTTTTCTTGTACAGAAACTAACAGAATTACTTGGCTTCCCATGATCTTTGCCTAGTTTTTTCTTCTGCCAGCTGGTGGCAGGGATTTGACAAGTGATTGATTTGGTTTCAGAGGGTCCTGGAATTACACAAATTGTTTTTGATATTGGAAAAGACATACCCAGTTTTTCACAAGTTTTAAGATTTATTGCCTCACCCTAACATGTTGTAAATTAGTTTGTTTGCTATTTATTTTAGTCAGAATGTAGTAATTGGTGTCATTAGTGTAAGGGTAAATTTGATCAGAAGAAAGGGCAGACAGCTATTTAACACTATTTATTTGTTTTTTTGCCAACTTTGCAGGGCTGGAGGTGAGATGGGTAGACTGCCACTTTCCTTTTACGCATCCTTCCTTTGAGATGGAGATCAACTTCCATGGAGAATGGCTGGAAGTTCTTGGCTGCGGGGTGATGGAGCAACAACTGGTCAATTCAGGTAGAAAAGAATCCCACATTTTATTTACACTCGCGCTAAAGGAACCCTCTCTTCTCAGGCAGCCCCACTGCACAATTGCACGTATTTATATCCTTCTATGGAGCAGCAGCAACATTGTTCTCTCTTGAGATTCCCCTCTAGATTTGTCTTTGATGCTAAGCCCTGGAAAAACTATTTCTCACATCTCTGTTTGCAAAGGCACTTTGTCTTTGGAGATCCTCCTTGTCAGCACTTGGCTGCTGGATTTGCACTTTGTGATTTTGTATGTGTTGATACGTTGCTTTGTAATTGCCCCAAAGGCATTCGGTGCTTGTCACAGGAGTGTAGTTTGTCTTTCAGACTATTTAAGAACAAAACAATGCATAATCTATTTTTGTTCTTATTGCACTTAGTATAGTGCCTGAAATTCAGCAAGTATTTTATAAATGCTTAATCCATCACCTCCCTCTGCATAGGCAGTGCCACCTGACTGTGAGAAATTGGAAAGACAAGGGTGCTGATGAATTCTACCCACATCTATGGGTATTTCAGAAAGATCTGCCTGTCTCTTTTCTGTAAGACTATTGATTAATAAACACAATTGTTCCTAAACATAATTTCAGAGCTGTGAGGTGTTCTTTTTAAGTCACTATCTGAATTTAATTTTTTAAGTCCCTATCTGAATTTAGTATTTTTTCAAAGTCCCTATCTGAATTTAATTACGAAATGTTTTTAGGGGTCAGGTGTCACGACTTGCACCCATAATCCCAGCACTTTAGGAGGCTGAGGCGGGCGGATCACCTCAGGTCAGGAGTTCCAGACCAGTCTGGCCAACATGGCAAAACCCTGACTCTACTAAAAATATAAAAATCAGCTGGGCATGGTGGTGTGCCTGTAATGCCAGCTACTGGGGAGACTGAAGCATAAGAATCACTTGAACCCGGGAGGGAGGCAGAGGTTGCAGTGAGTCAGTATGGCTACACTCCAGCCAGCTTGGCAAAAGAGCAACACTCTGTCTAAAACAAAACAAAACAAAAATTATATGTATCTAAATACCTATATAACTGTTTTAGTTATATAGGTATATAACTAAATAACTAAATTACCTATATAACTAAATATAACTTAATTATATATATACCTATATAACTAAATTATATAACTATATTCAGAGTATAAATCCTATATATTGTTACATAGATATACAGATACATGTATTCAGAATATAAATCCTCCAAAAAACGGTCGGGGGGAAGTTGGTTTGAATTGGGCATTTGAGCTCACTGCATAAGCAGTGAGCACCAAATAGGATAGGAACTGATGTGGATTGTTCTGGAAACCTTTCCAGCTCTGCTGCCTTAGAAGGACATTTGCTGCCTGGCCTTGGAGGGCAGCTCTGACTCAGGGTTCGCTGTGTGGCTTCCTATAGCAGGATGAAGAGAGGTCCTTCTTGGTAACTAAGGAATGTGAATAGACCATAGGTAAGGACATGATACCTCGTCATGGGCTTGGAACATGTGGATGAGCAGAGAGTGACAAGAGAGGGTACGTGAAGTGCGGGAGCTTGTGTTATGTGGGCTGGGAGACTGGAGGGCTGGCCTTCCCTTCTGGCTCTTAGGTACTCTCCATCTGCAGAGGCCTGGACTCCACAAGCTCCCAGATTCTTCTTTATCCTGCTGAGGAAGCCTTGGGGGAAAACCCAGCACAGGGCCCGAGGCTTCATGGGCAGTTTTCAAATAGATGAAAAGAGGAGAGAGAGCACAGGGCATGACATTAGGACCTGGGAGCAGTTGTAAGGCCTGGGCTTGGGTTCTGGAAACCCAGGGTCTTGTCACAACTCTGTTAAATAACAGCTATGTATCTTCAGGCAAGGTTCATCATCCTGTGAGCCTTGACTTTCTCATGGTTAAGATGGGTGCAAGGATACACCCTCAGAGTTCCATCATGGGTACTGATTGAGAGGATTCCTCTAAAGTGGTTAGCAAAGGGTCTGCCACACAGTGAACATTCAATAAAAATTGCTGATGTTGTTACATTTAAAATTTTTCTAATGGTTAGAGCTGTTTATCAACAGAGGGTCCTCTTAGTAGGAAATATTTAAACAGAGGCTGTTCCTGCCTGTCATAGAAACAATTTCTAACCAAGTGGAATTTGTTACTTCTTTGACCTGTAGTCATGTCTGTGTCCGTGATTTCATATCGAGTGAGTGATTTTACAAGGAAAAAGAAAAGTAAGAGTAATAAGAAACAGGAAGAAAAGGAAAATCAGCCTTATAATAGCATCTCGTTGGAAAACACAAACTACTGAGTACGAATAGGAAAGACTTAATCTCTCCCTGAGTAGGAGCTAACTTCAAATATCTCTGTAGTGTTTTTATAGTTTTGCTTTTTAGAAAAAGATTTGAATGAATCCTAGGCTTCCTCCCAGGAGTGCCTGGTATCTGGGCGCTGGAGCTCAGAAAGCAAACCAGGGATGATCAGCTTACACATCAGTTGTCATTTGGAATTGATCATGCTTCCTTGCACGGTTTCCAATATCCTTGATGGGTTTTTATGAGGTTTATTCACACAGTAATTGGCTGAATATCGTTATCTGAAACAGGTTTCCAAATCATTATTACACATTAATGAGGCTGCTGTTCTACAATTAGATTAGCCATGTTAAGTATTCTTGAAAAGAATGGCAAAGTGAAAAAGACATTTACGTTGCAAATATGTTTCAGAGATTCACAGTGATGGTAGGATGTGCTTTGACTTTTGGGGAAACTGTATACATAGAATTTTATTTACTTACTTATTTTTGAAACGGAATCTCCCTCTGTCACCCAGGCTGGAGTGAAGTGGTGCCATCTCAGCCCATAGCAACCCCCGCCCCCCAGGTTCAAGTGATTCTCCTGCCTCAGCCTCCTGAGTAGCTGGGATTATAGGTGCCTATCACCACACCCTGCTAATTTTTGTATTTTTGGTAGAGATGGGTTTTTGCCATGTTGGCCAGGCTGGTCTCGAACTCCTGACCTCAGGTGATCTACCCACCTTGGCTTCCCAAAGTGCTAGGATTATAGGAATGAGTCACCACACCCAGTCATAAAATTTAAATCAAATATTTCACAAGAGAGGAAAACTAAAGAAATAGAAGAAGAGACAATTTTATACACGAGATCCTGCCTAGACTTTGCTATTTGAATTTGAAGTTATTATGACAACGTTCTGCTCTATGTTCTCAAATTTGAAGGTGTTTGGATGTCTGTGGTTAAAATTTTTAAACTGCCTGGCAGTCACTAACCACAGACATTTGCAAGTGCAGCTCATTTTCTGTTTTCTGAGTTCTTACGATGTGGAGAAAGACGGGCTATGTGTACTTTATCCTGCTCATTCAGTTTTGCTATTCTTTCTATCTCTTCTACATTTGCTTCCCTGCTCTCCCTTCCTTTTTCCTCCCTGCCCCTCCTTTCCCCTCTCTTTACTTTTCTTCATTTCCTTCTGTTTTAAAAGAGAACTTCCAAGAAACCATGTAATTGATGACTCCTCTTTAAGGTTCTTACAAAGAGTCAGGTGAGTGCTAAAATAACCAGAAAATGAAGAAGCTGATGGAGGAATGATAGTGGCAGACATCAGTTGAGCCCTTCTTATATGCCAGCCTCCTGTAAAGCATGCTTTATATGCTTTCTTTCGTTTAACCATGATAACAAGGCTCCAAGGTAGATGCTATTATAACCTGTATTTTACAGAGCCAGAGAAAGGTAATTCAGATCAAATAGCTGGACAGTGCTAGTGAAACTTGCCCAAGTCTTTCTAACAACAGTTGACTAATAAGCTGTGCTCCCCGAATAGTAAATTGTATGATTTTGAAGTTGCTAAAAATTCATGTCAAATAAATCATTCCACCTAACATGGAAATAAAAGAACTGAAACAAAATGAAACAAATACGCAACCAACAAAACTTTATTTGTTCTGCAGTTACCTCTAAGGAAGGGCTGTGCCACCACGCAGTTCTCTCCCTGTGATAGAGTGCATTTAATTAAAGCGTGACATTAGGTTGCTAATTAAACAGTCAGTGAAACATTTTATTACACATTTAAGCGACTGTGGCATATATGTGTTCTTATGTGTGGAATACGGCTCTTTGAAATGGCTTATAGCATTTTACTTTATTTCTTCTACCTTAAGTCATGTGTCTTCACCACTGCTTTCAGACTCCTTAGTCTGAGTGATGGTGATGTGAGTGGTGACCATTTTCAGGCTGACTTGATTGTTTTTTCCTCACGGAGGTATTTTGAGGACAGTACTGAGTCACGTCCCTAAATACTACACATTTGCCTCCCACTGGGTTGACTCAGGCTGCTGTGTCTTTTCACATAGTAAATGGAACACCAGCATCCAAAACCATCACTGGGGCAACTATGGACTGTGATCATGCCAGGAAGGGATTTACCATTCCTTGCCCCTGTGAGATTTAGAAGATTTTACATGGGCCAAGAGAGAGAAGAAGCTTGATAGTAGAAAATATCTTTTTAAAAATGAAATTTCCTTGCTTACCTTTTTGTCAAAATTTAAAAAGTGGCTTTTTTTTTGAAAACCTTATAAATAGGTACACAAACAGTTTCTGGTTTTAAAGGATCATTATTTGCTTGCTTATCAAATATTTCTTGAAGTCCTTCTAAAGCTGTAGTGAATAAGCAAAGTGAATAAGCATTGCTCCTGCTTTTGAAAATATCACATGCACATAAACATATAAACAAATGATTACAGTACCATGTGGTAAGTATTCATAACAGGGGTACCGTGGGCAGAATGTGTGGGGAAGAGAAGGATTAGAGAAGGTGGTGCCAGGCCTTTCCCTGGTTGCATTCAGGATAGAATATGGATGTGATGGGTATTTGAAATGTGCATCCCAGTTTGTTAGGTTCTTGTTTTGCAAGGAGGGCTATATACTTTTTCTTTGTTTTTCCTATATTAGCATGAATCAGTTTCCAGTCTGTCCCTCTCTCTGGGCTATAGCCTCTACACATGCTTAACATGGT